CCCCAAAACCCCAAAACCCCAAAACCCCAAAACCCCAAAACCCCAAAACCCCAAAACCCCTTTTGGATAAATATTATTATAAAGTTATGATAAAGGACATCCATACTTCATTGAAAGAGATCAGAGATGTGCAGACGAAGGTAAAGAACATGCAGGAGAAGCGCAAGAGGTACATTATGAACCATATAATTCATTAAACAAGTTTAGAGATTGGATATTAAAGAGTAGACCAACTCTCAAAAGAAAGAATTCCGAACCAAGGGAAAATACCTATATCAGTAAATAAATTATTCACCTGTAGAATAAACTAAACGAGGCTTATGCTGCTCAAGACAAGAATGAAATTGAAGGTAACTCATAACCCTAATTCTACCTTTAGATGCCGATTACGATATTGAACTCCATAAAGAGCTTAAAAAGACCAAGAAGAGGACCAACAGTATGCTTTTAAACTATATCTAGGCTGGAACGGGAACCCAAAACAGAAGCAAAAATCCAAAAACGAAGAGATTGACGTCAATGTATTGGCTGATTACAATGCCAAGAAGGATGAGTACGACACTGAGTTGGATAAAGCTCAGTCTAAAGGAGATACTAGCAAAATTAAAGATGGAGACAGTAAGTCTTTGAGCTACCCATATGAAATTCTAACTCTTTTCTTCATAATCAAGACTGACTTCTCCTCTATAGGTAAAAATCAGATTTGTGGTCGATGTGGCCACAGCATTAAGAAGAAATCTACTTGAAAGAAAAAGTCCAAGGACTCAGAAGTCCTACTCAAAAGCTCCCATAGCGACACTAGCTCAGTTACACTGGATGGATCTGTACTCGAGGAATACTGGGATGACTTTGACGCAGAGAATATCGTGATTGAGGAGAAGAAAAACTATAAATTTCTCAACATCGATGAAATGTTCGCAGAAGACAAACAAAATAAGAAGTTTGAACTAGAAATATTTAAAGAGTTTGACCCTGAAGACCCTCCAATCTTGAAGCATTACGATACTCTCAATGAGAAGTACAAGTTACCATCAAGAATGGTTCTTGAAATGGAGAGGGATGGCTACCGCAAGTACATCAAGATGCTCAAAAAGGTCAGCAAGGTCCTAGTTCAAAGAGCTAAGAAGCAGGCCAGGGACACTGCTACTCGCATCGTTCAAAACCACACAGATCCAGGGAAACAGGACTTCGACAACGAAATTGGTAGCCTACTTAGTCTTATTTTTAGCCCACATTCTGTTTCAGTTCGAAGATGTGAAAGAAGAGAATTCAAAATAAAAACAAGAGGATTGAATACCTCGAGAATAAACTAAGAGAGTTCGAACAAACACTCACTCAGACAGCCAACTACTTTAGAAAATGAGACTTTGGGTTCAAATACAAACTTGAGGAGATGGAAAAAGTCGATTCAAAGCCAGAACCAGACACTAAGCCAAAGAGATTCGTTAAAAAGAAGGAGCCTCAGGAGCCACGGAGAGTTCATGCTCCTTACGCAGATCTGTTGATGACAAGACCTCTAGGGTTCTTCTCCCTGTACCATCAGATTTCCAAGGAAGATAAAGATGTGGTTCTGTCTGATGCCCTCGTGCAGAAGCTTAAGGAAAGAAATGCAAACTTAGAGAAAGCCATTGAGGTCAAGGATCAGGACATCACAAATCTATCCAAAGAGGTCAAGTCCTTAATGAGCAATGAGAAGCAACGTCTTGACAGAATCACCGTCCTTGAGCAGGTAACTTTCCCAAATTTGATATCTAGGAACTCTGAGACGAACGAAATTTCACTAAGAAGATTCAAGAGACTGCTGAGAAGGAAAGACAGGAAGAAACCCAGAAAATGAACCAGAAAATGGAGGATCTACTACTCCAATTTTCCCATTATAGCCAAATAACCGCAGAGGAAGTAAAAGTGAATGAGATGCTAAGGTACAGACAAAGGATGACCATTCACAAACTCAAGGATGATATCAACGAATTTAAGAAAATCCTGGCTATTCCCAGGCTTTACTCAAAATACTGTGAAGAAAGCAAGGATTTCTTCAAGAAGAAAAATGGTGGTGAATATCTCACTCAAAGAGGTAGGCAGCTTGTTAAAATTTACCTAGAAATTGATATGTATGATGTCTCATCAGAACGGTCTACTCCGATGTACAACCAGAGAGAATCTATTTGTCATAAACTTAACGATAGAAGCAAGATCAGTCTTCCTCTGCTGCAGGAATCTGCCATTGAGAATCAAGAATCTGAGGGAGATAGTGTTGAGAACTCCATGCAGCACAGGTACGACTATGTTCCTGGGAAGTTGTTCAATCCGAGATCAAACCTTGAGAGACATCATGAGCTCGTCCAAGAGCTTAAAGGTAGTAGGAACAAACCATCAATTCTTGGCCAGTACAAGACTTCAAGAGATATAAGCAAGTCTTCTCTGTCCCAAGCTGGGCTCCTGACAGATAGAAAAAGCTTACTGAGTAATTCATTTTCTAAAATGTATAGTGGCTTCGACTGATTTCTCAAAGACTTCGGATAAAGTTCCAGGGAAAGAGCTCGCAGTGAACGTGTTCGAGAAGCAGTTGAATTTTCCGAAGACTACTAAACAGAGGAAACTGCTGGGAAATAAGCTGAAACATAACAACTCTTTGCCCCAGCTACGCAAGGTGATGAACAATGATATTAGGAATGTGACCAAAATGAAATAACTTGCCTAAAAATTATGGTTTTAAAGGAAACAATAGCTTCAATTCTGTAAAAATTTATGGGGTTTTGGGGTTTTGGGGTTTTGGGGTTTTGGGG